TGTAGATAGATTATGTCTTTTTCAATAATTGCACCAACAGAGTTTTATGCATTGAATGCATTAAATAAACATATATAAAATAAATATTAAATAAACATAAAATAAAGATAAAATAACAAAGGGAATGTCATGAAACTTTTATTGAATAGAGTGTTTGACTAACTGTTTCAATAAATGCTATAGAACGGTCGTTTTGAAACAAATATTTATTCAAATATGAACACTACATAGAAGTTAATTACAAAATGATTTTAAAGTTTTACAGAATATTATTCATATATAATAATATTATAGAGTAGTATAGAGTAGCAATGCCGCAGGAGACTTTCAACGTATTTTCAAGCTTCTGTTCTACCTTTTACATGGCCTTTATTAATCTTTTTAACAAATTTATAACACATGCAAACTATAAAAAATACTTATTTGGTCTTACTTTTTAATTTATTGCTTTATATTGCTCACAAAGAAATACTTAAAGAAAGCGATCGTACTCAATTACTGCCAGAGATTCGCTATAAGGCGCATATATACTCTAGGATCTTGTCTCCTTATGTGTTTGTCCGACGTCTGTAACGTAGGCTCTACAGTTTTATTAAATTGAACATACTTGTTTCTTGGTCCGAAGTAGGATTATCAATATCTGAGTTCTTTAGAACAATGAACAGTACAATGGCGTATTTATAATATTCTGTTAATTGTTTTTTAGTTACAAAAAAATGCTGGAAAAAGAATCGTGGTACTTGAATGTTCATAACTCAGTTAAGGGAATCCTTCATTAAACATTTCTAAAAGGTAGTTCTAGTGTGTTTAAGTCTGATGGCTTTGGTTGCTTACTAAATACCATTATGGCCTGAAATAACACCTTCATAACTCGGGATTTGCTGCAAATTCGGAATACAGATTATGCCTTGAAGATGAGGAAACTACTAAGCATATTCTTTGTAATTGTGCACCTTTAATAACGCACAGAAGAAACTTGTTTCATATGAAATTTCTGTCACCAAAACAGATTAAGAGCTCTTCTCTAGATTTAATTTTGGACTTTCTTCACAAAACTTTAAGGGGCTTTGTGTAATTAACAGTGCAATTGGTACAATAGTACTTCTGGATGCAGTGCCGGCTGTTGGGCGATTTCACGTCAAAACTTTAATAATAAAATAATAATAAAATACCAAAACCGAAGACTTTTTGTGCAAGAGAAGATTTTTAAAATCGGCTGAAAAGCTTTAATTTAATACTAATTTTAATAATGATTAGTATAAATTTTCTTAAGTGGAGTAATTTTAATTTTACAGTTTTATTTTTTTTTGTTTACTTAATTTTAATTGAAAAATTTGCAGCAATTCAGTTGAACTGAAATGAGAAATACAACAATTCTCGACTAAACGACCTGCAATTTAAAGTAAAAATAATTGCTGCGGTGACACTGACAAAAGCTGCAATTGTCGAATTAACAAATTTGACTTGCGTTGCTTGCCTTCATCATAAACATCGCATGCGCGACGCAACGACCCAACCAGTAATAAAATAATAACGCAAATTAACTATAATTTCAGAACTGAAAAGCAGAAAAAAAATACAAAACAAAAACAAAAACAAGAAGTAAATATTAAAAAAAAAAAAAAATATGCATGAGACAAAATGTCAAAATGTAAGCCAAAAATAATTTAAATTTTCCAGCAACAAACAGAAAAATGTTAGCACTCACGCACACAATTAAACCAGCAGTTACTAGCACACGCGCAGGCGCCATTACAGAAGATAACTTACAAAACAAAAACAAAAACAAAACAAAAAAAATAAAAACAACAACTTGTTTCAATTTTGTCAAACTCCACCTCATTGGGTGAGATCAAATGTGAGTGACAAGCGAAATTAACAAAACGGATTAAAACTGACAATACTTTATTAGTGTAACAACAACAAAATAAAATCAGCAAAACAAAAACAACAACATAAAAACAACAAAAATAATCATTATAGTACAAGTAAAAATAACTACAACAACAACAACTGCTACAATTGTTGTAACATACATGAACATGTTATTAGCGAGCGTGAGAAACGCCCGTTTGGACAGTCACATCACTTCTTGTTGGTTTTGTGTTTCTTCTGTTTTCTGCTTTCTGTTTTAAGTAGTAGCTGCCTGCCCCGAGATTGCTCCACCTGTGCCCACAAAACATTACAAATAACACCACAAAATAGTGGCAAATGCAACAACAACAGCAACAATATAATAAAGAAAATATGCTTGTAACTTTGACAAGTGCATGTCACACAGCGTGCACAGAGTCACAGTGTCTCAATGAAAAATGACATTTTCACTGTTTTGATTAACTGTCCGTCCATACGAACGTACGTAGTATGTGCATCGTCTATCTGTTCATAAGTGTGTTGGATTGTTTGTGTGTTGCTTGTAATGCATTCGGTGCTCTATTGTAGTAATAAGCAAAGATGGATAAAAGCTTGTAATTGAGTTGACAGCTTATTTCAGTTTGGCTTCTATTGCGCATGTGCACATAGACGACTTCACATGAGTTGAGGCCAAATGACAAAATATGGGAAACTACCAGTGTAACATCATTAACAATAGCAACGTATTGATTTTTTTTTTATTTGGAGGACTCATTTCGAAATCAAGTGTTTTTTCCAAAAACTGACATGGCTTCGTTTTAATTAAATTGTTTCTTTTATGCTTTTGATGACTTTTGACTAATAGTTGATTAATATTTTCATTTATTCGAGATGCTATTTTTTGACATAAAAAGTTTCGTCAAAATTAGGCATCAGTAATAAGAAAAAAATGCTATATTTATACAGATGTAATGTACAGAATACTTTTCCAAATGCGTGTATTATTAATATTTTATATTTGCAATAATACCAATATAGAGAGTTTTAAGGACTAATCCAATCATTTTAAAAGACACACTTTTCATAAATAGAATTTGAAATTCTAAAAATCTTGTTAATATTTTTACAATGAAACCTGAGGAACATACGATTAATAAACTGTACAGTCATAAGAGTCCGAAAACCGATTGTCAAGATTTTATTTTTATTCTGGCCGGTACTGCGTCCAGAAGAGTCCTATTGTACCAAACTGTCAAGATAGTCAAATACCAAATATATGAGTGATCAAAGGTATAAAAAATTTATAGGAATATGATTTTAATGATGATATTGGTAATGATGACACACATATTAAACTATTTTTTTGAATACACTTCTTTAGCTGGCGGTTTTGGATTCTTAATTATTTAAGATGGAATGAAAGCATATTTCATTCCTTTTCTGAGCACACTTCTTGAATTAGTAGACTTCTTTAAAGTATTCAGGTTCCACAGATTATCCGAACTGAAAATTTGGATCATCATTTTAATGATGATAGAGGCAATGATGATAAATTAAACTATTTTTTTGAATGCACTTCTTTAGCTGGCGGGTTTGGATTCTTAAGATGGAATGAAAACATATTTCATTTCTTTCTGAACGCACTTTTTGAATTAGAAGACTTTCTTTACGTATTCATGTTCCACAGATTATGCGAACTGAAAATAATTTCATTAAATCTTAGAAGTTATACTGATTTAAATATACCAGTTATCTCATATTAAGTAGGCTGCATTAAGTAAAATCGGAGATCCCAATGACGCACTTTATGTTATTATGTTACCGTATATGAAACCATATTGAGTTGTTAATGTCTTTGACAGAGCTAAAATGCTCTTCAGAATTCCAGAATTTGATCAAGATTCTCAAAAAAAGTAACAATGTGTGGTCTTTGGTCAGTATAAGAATTTACTTGATTAAAACATTTCTTCAGAATATTCCACAATATTACTAAAAATGATTTCATACCTCTTGTCATATTTTAGAATAAAGTAAATTTGATTTTTATGCTGATTTTGAAACTAATATTTAATATAGAATTAAATTTTTTATTCTCCACAGATTTAGACATTAGGAAATTTCCAAAAAAGTAGACAATTTTTACTAACAAATTTTGGTTAAAATTTTTTTTATTATTATTTTGCAGAATAAATTGGTGTACGTAATTAGAATATTTTGCACGCAATAAAAACGCACATATCACCAGAGGCGTTAATTTACTAATTTGCAACAGGGGGCATCTAATGCTGTTAATTAATTAAACATTTAGTAATTCCAGTCAAAATTAAACACATAACAAATCAACAATTATGTTAAACAGCAGTGCGAAAATGGCATGACTTCCAAATAAAACTGTGATGATTCCTAGAAAAAGGATAGAGCGAAAACCATGTTTCGGGTATCCGTTAACACCAAACAATTTTGCCAGCGATTTAATTAAATATTTAATGAAAGTGGCTGGCGTGCACCTTAACTGTGTTAACCTGTGGTTGCATGCATGGAACACATGAACAGCTCACCTCCCCACCAAACACTTGTACGGGTAATTTCCAACTACGGCTGAGAAATTAAGGATTGTGATATTCCCTACTGTGAACCGTACCACTTCCATACAGGTGCATACGAAAATTAGATTGCACAATAAAACTTAACAGAGTTGGGTTTCGTAGTTGGTCTGCTGAAGTATACTTAAACTTTAGTTTAAAACTACTTATAAACTTATAATTACTTAAAACGCTTAATGAATGACCCTTAGTTATTTAATTATACATGAAGTTAAAATAAAAAAGTTGATTTGTTTAGAGAAAACTACTAAATTTTATTTATTTAAAGGTTTATTTAATTTCTTGTAAAATACGCACTGAAGTTATAAGATTTCAGGGTTGAGTTTGATTAGATATTTTTAAGTAAAATTAAAATATAGTGGGCATAGAAAATATATGCCAGACTTTAATTTTACAATGGTTTGTTAATAAATTTAGTATAAATGATTTATTATAAAA